GACAAAACCTTGTCGAAACGTTGTACATTTGCTGTTATGTTAAACTTATATTAAAGTTTTTTCATTACCCATTCAAACCGTCTCCAGCCATTATTAGTCTCAAAGTGGGTTCCTCGTCATCGAATTATCGTCATTTAGTTATGTAATTCTGATATTTGTAAGTCACAGAAAGATAGTAAATTAACTTAATGAATTAATTGTCTCGGTAGTTAATGTTTTGTTTACAATAACTTTAGTTTTGTAACTGGAGCCTGAGGCTAAGCCACCAATCAACGCTAGAATGGTATTCCGCCTTCAGTCAAAGGTAAGTGAAGTTACGTTTTTTGAACACATGTTAGATATATTATTAAAAGTAGACCACTAATAAGTTTTATTTACAAAATAAAGTGATATAAATTCTATCTATTTTTTTATTAATTTTAATATTTTACACGATTTTTTTTATTGCACAATTTCTTTCAAATGGCCTAGCGTACGCGTCATTAGACCTACTAGTACTATGGCATATGCATCAAAACTATCAGATTAACTGTTAGTGTTACCTAACGCATACGTAATGGCGTAGTAAATAGGTATGTGAGGGAGTGGATTTGATTGCATTATCAATCATAAGTTGACAAAACTATCAAATGTGTAATTGAAAAGGATTCATAGGTATCATGCAATGTGTTAAAAATGTTTGTGTTTAAGATTTGGTGACGTTTATGAATTATTAATGTTTATCAGTAAATATATAAAACTGGCTTTACACCATACTTCAGATAAGAAAGGGTTAATCAAGAATGTTGGTCAGGGGAGTCATTAAATTCTTTTTGCGCTAGTTATCTACTGAACTGAGTCATTTGACTAGGTTGTTACATGCACTCTTTCTCGTGGTAAAGATTCTTGTAAAGTGGTATGTAGAAATAGATAGTAATATTTTCCATTGGCATGTCAGGTGATACCTAGAGGATATAATCTCCCTTATATTGCGATGGGAATGGTCAATGGTCACGAAGGTAGTGCCTGCACCCTGCGAAGAATAGCACTATAATTTCTTGTATATAATGCATTGTTTTCTAGACTAGTATAGTATAAGATTCATTAGAGAGCTCCAACTTCGATTGTTTGAGTGTTGAATAAAGGTTGTTTCATTATGTTTTACATCTTTTCAGTCTGTTTCTTTGTTTCAAACTCAGACGAGGTCAGAGATTTTGTAATCACTCCGTAATACATTTTCTTTTGAAACCTATTATTCTGCGGCTTCTACCCGATTAGTCTTAAAGGGAAATCAGTGCGCCTGAGAATACCACAATATTAATATCACAATTTTTACACACATTTATTTTCAAGTTAAAAAAGCTTTAGAAAAGTCTTACGTCTAATTTTTACAGTAATTATATTTATCACAGATCTACCGTTAACACAGATATATATATATATATACTCTTCTTATTTTCATTCACGTATAGCAGGTTTTAACATTTCGATAATTCGTGGGCCGCTTATAAATGCACAGTTAAGTAATTATAAGTTCTAGTATATATTATATATACATATATATATATACACATATATTTGTATTTTTTTATAAAGCTCTAACGTTATAAACGATGTACAGTAACTTAAGTAGACAGATAGTATCACAGAATAACCTTACCCATTTTCTCACAGAAGTGTCTTTACGAAGGAAGTTTCGCGGTTGCGCTGCGAATACATTGAAGCGTTTCTCTTGCTTCTCCACCTTCGCTAGGATATATCTGTAAACATTTTATCATTTAGTAGCTTAATGTTGCCCATTTATAACAATCACAAACTGACAGTTTATGTGAGTCGTTGGTAAGTAAGTAATATCTATACTTGTATACATGGTGGTGGATGGGTAAAGGTCCAGAAGATATCTTGTTTTCAGTGTAGATATGGGAGAGTATGCGTGTAATTAAAACACCTGAAGTTAGTAGTACTGAATCAGCAAGTCTTAATGAAAAATACCAATACATAATACATATATATATATATATATATTAACTGATATGTAGGTACTATGTAAGAATAAAACAAACCTCAAAGACAGCTAACTGAAGTTGGAAGAATAAAACAAATATCGTAAATTATTGGAGATCATAGAAACCTGTTCAGTATACTTCAAACTTCGGTTAGGCTAGAAATATCTATATTCTAATTTGCTATACTGACACCCAATTTCCGATCGGTTGACTCCTGAGGATTATACATGTACAAGCTCAGCAGTAGGGTTGTGTATGTTAGTTAACGGTTTCAGACCAAGTTTTTGGACGATATTATGTTTTTAATAGTTTCGTTTCAGTTTACTTACTGATTATATTTACTTTTTTTTAGAAATTACAGCTTTTACATTGTACTTGAGAATGGTCGTACCATTGATCGAGAAACGTCGTAACCGTTTTAAAAAATATTCTTCCTTACTGTAAGAGGTGTAACTTCTAAAAAAAAAGTATTGTGTTTTGCTGACTTGAGGATAAGTCTTCGTTCACTATAGGTGAAATATTTTGGTGATTAACACAAGAAGCAATGAATACTCATTTGGTAGGTCATTTTATCATCATAAGCCTTTAAGCTTACTACAGAGCCATTAGAGATTCGGATACATTTTGCTTATATATATATGTGTGTGTATGTGTAGACACACACACCATTGACATTTGGTCTATTTTTCCATAATTGCAACAGACTAGTTCCTTGTTCAAGTCCATAAAAAACAAACAAACAGTTTTTGGGTGTATATCACTACTACCTCAGTTGGGCTAGGGTAATAAAACAAATTATAATTTATTAATCCCTATTTTATTACAAGAATAACAGTGGCATGCAATTTTAGTACAGAGTACAAAACATTTTATTATCCACTAAAACTATTACTGTTAAGATACTCTATAAGATATCGTTGTTTTCCTGAACTTACAAGGAGGACGTGAGAAGCATTGTAAAGACTTCGGATGAATCAAGTATCTCGCTAAATAGAGGAGGGTTAAAACACCCAAGGATTTCCTCTGGAGACATCAAGGAAAAGCGAACACATCTCATAACTTTAACAATGTGTATCTGCCGTTCGGGATACTGATGATTTAGCCATTTCAGGGCCGCCAGGAACACCACCAGTTCACTAAATCAAATATGAAAATAATGTTCATATCACTCAGGTTTTAAGTAATATAATTCATTGAAAGTTAATGTGCAGAATTTTGATAGGGAATACAAGTAACCTATTTTTTCACAGTGATTAACAACCTTCAGTATGAGAGAATGCATAAATTCTATCAAGAGCTCGTGTATAAGATCTATTTTTGTCCTTACTGTATAGTTAAATATATACATCTTGTTGTTCATTTTCCTAAAACAAGTGTTACTGTTTAATAAGGATCTTTCATATTACACTGTTATCGTCAGATCGTATGTTTATAAACAAACATTTTGTCAAGATGTGATAAATTGTTTATGTTTTGACTATATAATGTAAGCGCAATGCTCTATTTTAACCATGAAAACACAAACAAACATCAGTTATGTTTTATTTCAACACTATCATACACTCGATGGTTATAGTTTTTTAAAACACAAACCTGAAGGTCCCAATAATATCGGTTGACAGTATTTCACACACTTCATCTACCCCAAGGGATAAAAATTCAGAACTTTTTACCACTTCTTCAAATTTCTCCTGAATCGCTTGATAGGCTCGTAACCAATGATCTTGAAGGCCAAGTTTCTTTGCAGATGAATAAGCAAATATTGGATGTCGAGCTCCTTTCTTTCTTATATCTATTGACTAGAAAAAAAAAACGAATCAAAATGTTACAAGAGTAAAATAGGCGAGCAAGTTTTAACTAAAATTGTTATTTGCTCTAATAGTCTATTAACAAATGAATTATCAATATGTATATTTGGAAAAATGGGTCACTATAAAAGGTATAATCTTCTCTTTAGGTTTTTCATTAAAATAGTTATTTTTAGCTATTTTAAAACCCCCACGCTATAAAATTTTAGTGATACTGAACTAAAAACTATTTTCGTAGCATATTATTCTCGTTTCTTTATTGGAAATTAAACGATATAGTCTACTTTTGTTTCCTCAGACCACCTCTCTTCTTCTTCTTCTTTTTTTTTTGATGCCTATTCAATATTATATATAAATTTTTAAGTTACCCTCTTGATAAAATAATTTTATTATTTTGTATATGTATATATACAAATTATTTTGGAAAGGTAAAATATTATGTCAAAACACCGTCTAAAAAGTATGGCAATATACATTCGTTCAAAGTAAAATTGTTTTTAGATTATTATCAGTATGGAAAATTTGACAGTGTTCACGTTGTTTTAATTTAAATATGAGATATATGTAAGTAAATCAGAGTTAAGTTTCAAAAACAGGGAATTACAAATAATATCAGTAAAAAAGTAAAACATTCTAATGGAGACAGAACATCTTCCTTAAAAACTGAAACAACGTGCTCAACCATAAAAACCTCTAGGAACTGTGGTAAGCACTACAGTTATAGTGAGAACGTTCAATTAGAGAAAAGTTTCTAGTTGATTTTATTAATCAGTCCCATATCTCCATTGTATAACAATATAATATAATGATCATTTATTAAGGTTATCAGTAATAATTTTGTTCTGAACACCACATAAGGCATTTTATCTTGAGTCTAGTCTTCAAAATTTTATTACAAAATTAAATTAATGAATTCGGGGGTCCTTTCTCAAGTCTTTTGGCCAGACTTTGTACAACTCCGTCAAATGTTTGTGATAATAATTTACCTATACTGAATAATAATAACTTGTTTGTTTGTAATTAAGCACAAAGCTACACAATGGGCTATCTGTGCTCTGCCCACCACGAGTATAGAAACCCGGATTCTAGCGTTGTAAATCCGCAGACATACTGCTGTGCCACTGGGGGGCTAACACCAATAACAATGTTCCTTTTATATCAGCCAGGAACATATGTAACTATTTTCATGCATTTGTAAAAAGCAATATTATATAAGTTTATTTTCGGATATTAAACAGACTTAGTAAAGGACCAATGAACTCACAAAATCAGTGAATTTCTAATAAATTTGAATCTAATTCTTTAATAATAGCGTTTTTTAATGTCTTCTTATTACCAAAAAAATCAAATTTTTTACTATAAGTTCTCATCAAAAATTGGTGAATAAAGTTTGTACACCGCTTATCCTCTGAAATGGCCACTTAGTAAAATTTAGGAATTAATTAGTATGGAAGTATTGTTAACAATATGAGCTCACAAAATATTGAATTCGGTAAAGTTTTCATAAGTACCGTATAAAAGTAAAAATGTATGATATTACACTTTTTCTGAATCGATTATATGTGTCTTTAAAGATAATCACTACATACCTCTAAACATTTGTAAAGAACCTCTTCTACCTGAAGTTTTTTAGCAGCCATATAAAGGTCGACTACGTTTTGATGAGTTATTCTTAACTTTCCGGTGTACATATACTCCAATAAACAATCAAAGGGTTCTGAATTAATCCCTATCAGTTCCACCTGATCCAAAAAAAACAAGCTAAATAGCTGTATGTTTTGCAAGTGTATTATTTTTCAATTGTCAATAATAAAATATAGACATATAAAACAGCAATTGAAAAGACAACGTTGCTTGTAAATAAAATTCTCATTTACTGGTTTACGTTGTGTAGAAAAGATAAATCAATAATATATTAATGAACATTAAACGATTTTTAAACAATTTCAATATATTAAAATGTCACAGTTAAAGGAAATTAATTGATTAGTTTTTATGAAATGTAGTGCCCCACAGGCTGTTAGTCGTTAAGGTTTTAATTTCCTGATATTGCTATCTGGACACGTCACTCACTTTGTTGCTATTCTATTATTATTTTTTTGTCAGGGAACACTTTCATAACAAAAATTTTAAATAACCACAACAGTCATACCTATCAAATGTGACACTTTCAATTATAAAAATTAAGTTCATTATTCATCTGACACTGGTACTTATCATTTATACTCCTATGTCACGACAGTACAAATGCGTATAGTTTTCTAATGTAAATTTTAAGTCTAGAACCCACATGCGTCACGAAGTTATAGAAAAAATAACATAATTAATTGGTGACAGAAGTGTATCAAATATTTGAAATAGCACCTTATAAAATCAAGAGGCAGGTTCTAATACAACACACATAAAAAATCGTATCATTTGTTACATAAATAAATTAATAATGTAACAGCTTCTTACACAATTAAAAATAACAAACTAAGTGAAAAGAAAATTATTATTTTAGTTGCAAAATCACTATGTAGCTCCTTTGCCATTATTTTTTCATTTTTTTACATAACGTTTCTAGGTTATTAATAATATCTGTTAATACAAGTTTTTGATATTTCCTATAAAAATAAATAGAATAATTTTTAATAAAAAAATCTGATGAATTTCTTATTCTTAAATGAAGTATAAGATATTAGCCAGTAATGACATAATATAAAGTTTGAACACACCTTATTAATAGGTAGCGTACTAGTTAGAAGTCTCTTTTTAAAGAATAGGCTAAAACAGGTCAAAACTGCCTTGTGGCCGTAAAATACTCTGTCGTTAATTTTTATTGAAATGTCAGTCATGACATTTCTTTTCCATAACCCTTCAGCATGAATTCCTAGCCTGGCGAAATGTTTTGTATGGTTTTCAATAGTGAAAGAGTCAGAGCTGGTTTTTTGCACAACATCTACGCTTTCAGCAGAATGGTCAGCAATTGGATAATGGCAACTATTTTTATAACCGCCATTGACAGAAGAGATGTTGTTATTCTGGAAAAAGATAAGTGAACAGCCATGGATAATTCAACGTTAAACAGAATGCACAAAGTAGCTGTTGGTCAATCTAAGAACTAAATAAAAAATCCCAACTTAATTTTTGTTCTTAACATTAAACTTAAATAAACTTACTGCATATTTTTCTGTAACATGAAAAAAACCTAATCTAATTGCTTATTATTACTAATGATACTATTTTTTTTACTGATTTGAATGTCTTTTACTAAATTTTTTAAATGCAAACGTAGTTCACATTAAATATTTGATAAATATATTGTTTTCCTTTCTTAAACACAAACAACTTACTGATGACTTTGTAGGAGAGTAGCTTTCGACAAGTTTACGGATAGATTCATCACTCTTGATTATAATACAATTTTGTTGTGGAGATGTGTTTGCTTGTTCGGAGTTATTCATTCTGAATAATATAATGCTAGGTTACTGTGAAACCTAAAAAATAATTTAAAAATGCATTAAACTAAAATAGTGAATATAACGTTTAGTTGTTAAGTTATAGAATTCGCATTTTTATGCATACATACATATATACACGTCCAAGGCCTAATGAAAATAGGATCAAGATTATAGCGTTAAAATGATTGAACAAAATCATAGGGTTCTTTCAATATAATTCCTTTTGTAGTTTTGTCACTTAATTGATAAAAGATATAATTCAACTTAAAGTACTCCTAAGGCATATCTTGTGAATTATATAGCAGACGTCTGTGGATAATATCTAACTTTGCTTCCTTTTTTATACACCTGTAAATTGCTGCAACAATTAAATTTCCCAGTTTAGGCTTCTTTTTCAAATAAATCAAATAAAGGAAATGTTCTTTGGGCAGTATGAAATAACATGTTCTAATTTCAACATTAATTAAATAACTTACTGAAAGAGTGAAAGTCAAGCTGTGATATCTATAGTTTTCATCATAGGCCTACGTTGCGAATAAGCACATCTTTTTATACAATGTAACTGTTCCAACCAGACAGTTCTAAAGTCTTAGACTTTAAAACTGGGGGGCTAGGAGGGTATAAGCTAGCTTAGGGTTATTACGAGGCTAGCTTAGAAAAAATGTCGTTGATTTACGCTGTGCTTCGGGAGTTAAGCACAATTTAGAGAAACTACAAACTACGTATCTAAATATAACTATTTTAATATTTTCCAGGTCTTGCTTTTAAAGTGTTACTTGTTTATACTAATTAAGTCATATTTTATTATTAAATTTAAAATATCACTATGATTATGCTTGTTGCTAATAGTAATCTAATAAAGTTTCAAGTTGTGAGACTTGGCAAGGGCCAGCCCATTTCAACCTAACGTCTGAGGATGAATTCAACAGTAGACAAATATAAAACGCCAGAAAAGAACACGGCTCTGCGTTTGTTTGGCCTAATGCAAGACTAATTAATAGGCCTAAAATTGCAATATTTTTTTCCTATATTCTTCTTCAATCGTAACTTTCAAAGTAAAGCAAAGCTAGACATAATTGTGTTAGGCTTACTTGTCATTAACTTTAGGCTTAACTTTAGTTTTTGATAAACACATATTATACAATTGTGGTCATGGATTATGATTACGACGAACATAAGATGTGGTTAATTAGGTTATTAGTTCATTTTTACAGCGTCCTATAATGTTATGTTGAAATGTAACTAAGAGATACAGCATAACTTAAATTAATTCCACAAAAGCAACCCAACAAAAATTGGCCTATTGTTAACCGAATACAAGAACGTTGCCTTAGCAACTTTCGAACGCCTGTGCTCCCAGCGATCTTGACGTAACCAACAAACATTTTATATAAAATAATGAAGCAAACCCTTCAAATTTGTAAAATGTTATTAATTTACCTTTCTTATTTGTTATCTTTATAAAAATTTTTGCGTATTAGTGTGTAAATTATTAAATGGCTCACTATATGTTGTATGTTTTCAAGAATAAATCTATTTAAAACATTTTGTTTTTTACCCTTGAACTATATATATATATATATGCGTGTGTATGTGTGTCTCCTAATTTATTAATATAGAATAATGTTAAAACCATAAATGTTGGTGAAAACAGCTAGAAAAATATTGAAGTTGAAAAAAAAAACTTTGTTAAAACGCTGTATAATTACAATAGTATTCCAACCGTACTAATTTTGGTATATCCATTGCTGAAGACGACGCGTTTCACTCAATCCAGAACTCTTCATGTCGGCTGGGATGCAACAAAACAGCAGTGGTCGAAACACTACTTATACAAGCCATTTCATACAATAACAGTGGATATGGTTGGAATATTATTATTATACACTCTTCTAATTCATGAATGTCCCTAAGGGATTAGATTAAGAATTTAATGTCTAAAAATGTATTAGGCCTTATACTAGCGTCTTATGAGAAATGTATTAGTTTAAGATAACTATTGATTTTTAGCACAAAGCTACACAATGATTAACCGCGGTTTGTCCACCGCAAGGAATCAAACGCTGGAGTTTAGCGTTGTACGTCCGTAAGCTTTCCGTTAATACACCGCGAGGGGGGGGGGGGCTAAAATTGTATATTTTAAAATATTGCGACCATCTAACGAAGAAAATTTGCTCGAAACACTTTTTTTCGACTTAATTCATAGGCAAACCATCTTTTTTTTTTCTAAAAGATGTTTTATAAAAAGTTAAAAAGTCATATATCATGTTAAATATGCTTGTTGCGAAAACTAAAACAAGTGATCATATAAAATGTAATAAATAACTTATGGAAACTGAAATAAAGGAAAATGTTTCCACCAATTCATTGTTTTGGAGAAGAGATAAGTCTTTTTAATATATTTCTTTGAATTTAAAACTCTATGCATTTATAGACCAATTTCAGAATGTATAAAAAAATACCAGTTCAAACTTGAAGGAAATAAACATACTTTACTGTTCAAAACTAAATAAAGTTTCACGCAATGGAATGAATAGTTTTAAATGAGTTATTGTTAGTGCGACTCTGCCGAAATACACACAGATAAGTGACCTTGTTGTAAAAACATCGGGGCTCATGGTGGTAGTAATAGTCGTGTAATCGACTTAGAAACTTCGGGTGCTTTTGATTGGTCAGTCCTCCTTATCAGTCCTTGGGATGATAATCGTGATTATCATTCATACTTAGAATTATTCAAAGCTCACTGTTTTTATAAAATATATTGATTAATATTAAAAGAGATGGTACCAAATTACAATATCAGTTTTACTAAAACTAAAATTTCCATTTTTTTTAAACACATTTGAATAAGGTATTTATACCAATCTAATTTTTTAAAGCAAGTTAAAATTTTACCATGTGAACAATTTTGCTTCATTATTTCATTTTTCTCTCCCCCTGTCTAACGTATAGTGGATTCCCTGGTGGATCAGCAGTAAGTTTCTGGATTTATAATTTAAAAATCCATGGATTTAATTCCCCGTGGTATTCAAATTCGATGACGAGGAAATTTGAAATTAATAATGGCTGGAGACGGTGTTGCGTCAGCGAGTCACATGACTAGTGTGACGCCACGTTTCTAGAACTTTCCCGTACCTTGGCGAATGCTCTGGTATTTACTAGATATAGGGTAGTCTGGTATATAAAAGAGGGTGACAACGTGACGGGAGAATAATGTAACGTGTGTGTAGATAGTGAGTAATTGAACTGCAGTCACAGGGTATTGTTGAAGTTAACGTTCGTTCGTTATAATGTTTGTTTTAGCGCGAATATTGAAATTAAGTGTATCGTAAAGTTGTATTCGGAAAGAATAAACCAGTTTTATTAAGTAAGGACTTGTGTCACTAAAGTTTCGTCGGAAACGAAATTACGGAAAGTTAATTAACAAACGGAGACGTAACAAATTGGTGTCAGAAGTGTGATGAAAAA